TTCCCTCGCCTCCGGCTCCGCCGGCACGGAAAGCCCGTGTCGTGCGCCGGCTTTAGCGCACCCAAAACGCTGCACGTGCCTTCTCCCGCTCACCCAGTTCCACACAGCACACGGGAGCGCCAACATGGGTTTTCAGTCGCTACTCCGGTTCCTGCATGTACTGGTTTTGTTTGAGTCACTGGTAAATGGACCGGTGCCCAGTGGGCAAAACGTGTGGTTGAGCGCGGAGACAGGCAACGACCCAGTAACAGTAACAAGATCCTTTTCTCAAGCGACGTACAACCCAGCTCACCCTTGACTGTTTCCATTGCGCCTCATCTTTCCTGCCAGAAAGGCCAAAATATCCCACACTGATCCAAGAGCATGTTTTTCGTTTGCTTGAAAGAGCAAATTTCAAATAAACGTTTCAACACATTACACACGATAATCGTTTTACAGACATAATTTTCTCCTGACTTCAGCGTTAAGTGATCTTTGAAAAGCTGCTCTGCCTCCTGTTATCCTAGGAAGTTACCTGTGCCTGTGGGATAAAACAGCGAAACCAGAACAAAGCCTACGCCAGGACAGCCACAGATGGAGTTTCTAGACACACTGTGAAAGGTGGCTCGTCTCGTTTTCCACCGCTCAGTGACAAACGTGTACAACTTTGCTACGCCGGTAACTCACGCCACCGCTTTACGGGTGCTATTGATTATCCTGAGTAACTGCGAAGGAGCGGTTATTACTGCCCGATCAGATTTACTCCTAGTTGCATTTCTGAGCAACAACAGCGATCAGATTTCAAACTACTGCTGTGTTTTGCATCTGGGCATCAGCAATCACATCTTTTGTGGAGGATTTGTCTGGGCAGGAAGCTGTCGTATTACAGCCTCTTTAAAACCCAAGCACCTTCTGGTTTGGTTTGAAATCACTCGTACGAGCTTCTGAAGATACACAGAAGTTTTAAGACTTGTGTGCTCCTCTGTTTGCACTGTGATGGCACCGTACCAAGCGCAGTGCACCAGAGGGTACAGGCGCAATGAAAAGTCCACCCCCCATGAGCTTACCAAAAAAACATGATACACTTATAATCACTTCAGCATTAATGTTCTCCATTTATTGATCATCTAGTTCCAGTAAGCGTTTTCTAAGCGTCACAGCAGGAAGGAATTTTAGAATGACAGCTGAACAGCCCTTCTGATTTTTAGAGATCTTCTCTGATGCGTAATGGGCAGCATGGGGAAATATAAAAAAGGAATGAGGATGGCCATATTACTTCGATATTGATTAAAATTCCATGCTTTTCTTCGCCTTTTCTGCCAGTGATGCAGTGTTATCTGGAAAGCAGGCCACCATGTGTGGGGGAAAAAACAGCACAAAACCTCAGCCATAACAATGACCCTCCAGAGAACTAGAAAAAGAGTAATTAATCATCCAACACACTGACAACCTACATAAACCAAACTAGATACACTTGGTACAAGTGAAACTGAGTAAGATTGCTGGTTTACTGGTTGTCCAACAAGTACTCCAGCACTACTTGTATGTACTGCATCTCTTCAACGGTGTTCCTATCTTGAGGTTAAGCAGAAATTTCTGGTCTTATCAGTAACCCTCACAGCCAGATCCCTTCCGTGTGTGGGGCAAGAACAAATGAAAAGCCAACTGTGATCACAGAAAAGGTAAATAGGTCATTTCCACGCCTGCCAGAGGCATGTCCAACTTGGACATTTGGCACCAGATCCTTCGCTGCCTCTTTCATTAAGTCACTGGGCATTAGCCATACCTGCAGCTTGTAAGTCTCAACAGTCTCTCAGAGTAACGCTCCTTCCTTTGGAATATCCAGGTCACGTGGAATCACAAACCATCTGGGTGAGCCAAACAGAAGCGGGTTTTTATTTCAATGATTTACAAAGAGAGGAATCAACACTGCTGTGGAATGAACAGTTCTTCGTAAGACTAACATTTCCAGGTCTACCCCTTAAAGAACAAACAAGCGGCTCTTCTGGAGAACAAGTGAGAAAAACAAAGCTTTAAACTATTTTGTGAAGTTTACAGATGAGTCAGTTGTGAACTGTACGTGTTCCTTAGGAAGACAAAACAGAGAACACTGTTGAACTTGCTGAAAGCAGCAAGTACTGATTATCTTGAATTGCTGCCAGCTCTTTAGATACACTCTGGAAAGGGAAAAGGAAGGGCAGCTCATGGGGGAAGTAGTCCACTGTTAGGCTTAAGAAGAGGCACTTCTTCCCAATGTTTTGTTTACGGAAAGAATGGCACCACGCCACCGAGATTCTGCAGTTCCAACTCTTAGATAAGTGAAAAAGGGTAGGCAGCTCTCAAGCTATTTTAGACAAGCACTCAAACAGGAACTAAAAACAGCTATTGTGTCTGGGCACTAATAGCTCTGAAGTACTGCACACATCTGCCTGCTTTCTCTAAACAGTTACTAAATATGTAAATGTGGACATTAAACACATCTATGTTTATCTAAAACACCTGAAGAAGGAAACAATACCTTTACTTCCATGTCATCTTATATGTACTAAATGGCTTTTTTTGACCCATATGGCTGTATTGCCACTAATAACTGTCATCTCCTTCCACCCCAGCCCACCCCTCAAGAAACCTGCATATATGCCTTTTCGTATATGCATGTTGCACAGCAGTCTGAAACGAAGTGCAGCTAGCTGGTAAATTAACACTGAAGGGTTCCTATGAGATGACTCTTAACAGTGGAACTCTTGATTTATTAGTAGGTTACTCCGTGCTGTTGAAAGCTGTGGTAAACCTGTGATAGAACAGAAAACAGTCAAGTAGGTGCAAGTTCCTTTATAAAGTTTCTTTGGTAGAGAGGTATTTCAGGTAGGCTTGGAAAACTCCTGTTACTGATAGTCATATTTGCTCACTGGAGGGCCAAAGATGGCTACAATAGGAAGGTATGTGTTTTGTTTGCCTTTTAATTATTTCAAGATTAAATATAGTATGTAACATCAGCAGGCATGTGTTGAATTTTATGTTGTTGAAGATGTTCAGGTAAGTTGTGCTCCAAGTGCAATTATCCTTCCTATTCAGATACTCAAGACAGCCAGTTTGACACGTTATTATTGGAAAAAATTATATTTTGGAAGAACTCACTACAGAAGGTGACAGAATTCCAAAAATCAAATTACATGAAAATATACATCGCAATTTTCTTTGTACATTAGGTGAGGAAAACTCTGAAGTAGAAGGCAAAGAATATGAAGGGCCACAGAAGAGAGAAAAGGAGGGAAACTATTTTTGATACCAAACCCAGAAGTTAGTCATTTGAAAGCCTACAGATGTGCATGCTTGAACTCAACCTTGAGAAGAAACAAGCCTCCCCCAACACACACCCCGCCCCAAAAACAGGCAATGAAAAAAGGCAAAAAAAAAAAATCACCCATAAGAAGCAGCTCATTCCTATCTTGGACTAACTTAGTCAACTGAACTTCCAGATGAAAGCACTCAAGTCCTTGGAAGTTAAAAATCCTGCAGGCTGCTCAAGGGTACTCCATGGCCAGTTTTATTGCTATACCAAATTCATGAAGTATGTGCAATTGGGTTTAAGAAAAAAGGGGTGGGAATAATAAAAAAAGCACCTTTGAGACTACAAAGGTCATCATGAAAGAAGACACAAGTAATTGATAGCAAATCCTTTCAGGGTTTAATTAGGAAAATTTTAAGTTCTGATGGGGAAATAAAAGGTAGCACATTTCCAAAAACCAAAAAAGAGATACTGAACTTTAATAAGCAAGAGATTTTAATTAAGCCTCAGTGGGTCAAAGGAAAATTAAAGTGGCAGGGGGAAAAAAAAAAACCACAAACAACTTCATCCTAATCGGTTTTAGTTTGACATGCTTCACAAGTTGTTTTTGTTGTCGTTTTTTGTTTTGTTTTGTTTGTTTTTTAAAACTGATAGGAAACAACGAATAGGGAGAGAAAAACCTGCTAAAATCTTTAGAATTTACACAATTCTATTCCTAACTACAGACAGCATTATTTGGTACAATGTGTATTTGTGGATGTACATGAACAGTATATATATTATCCGGATCATGTTGTGCTATGTACACATCTTTACAATTCTTCCTGAAGGTTAAAGCAGTTCATTAGATTTCAAAATGCGTAATCATCTTGTGTTGGCACTTGTTAGGCTCTTGTCAGCATTGATAACTGGCATGTTTTATTGCAGCCCAGTTCCAGCCAGTGTTTGCCAACTTGTAACAACAGAAGTCCAGCAATAGGTGGGTAGAGTGCAGGAAAAAAAACAGTGCCATGTTTCTCAATTGAAGACCTACAAAGAAATCAGAGTTATTAAAATAAAACCCCTCATCATCTTCAATTATTTTAGAGATGTTTAATAGTGTTTCAACCTCAAGGAAGATAATCGTTACTTGTTCAAGAACTTTACATACCTCTCCACAGAAGATGCATAAATTCAAAATAATCACCTGCGAAAGACTTGGGTTAGTTCAGCACACTGTGTATCCAAGCTCAACTATCAGACTTCCAGGCTCCCGTTACTCATGCTGCTTGTCAAGTGCACAGTGTGTAAACATCTGATTATTCACACACAGGACTAAACATTTGTAGATTTATCCCCAAAGGGTCGGTGCGTCACTTACTGTGAATGAGGGATGCTGCTTCGACAGCAAAGCACAGCACAAAATGGCACAGCAGTGATTCATTAAGCAATAACTCCACAGCCCCAAGTCAGACTGTGCTGGTTTGAAGCCAGCTGTATGGCTCTCTCATCCAATTCATTGCCCATCACTTACTTAGGAGGAGTCACCAGGACTTAGAAAAGCTTTTGCCTTCCAAAAAAGCAACACAGCCAGTTACTTAAACATTTGTCATGAGCATTGTTTCATTATGGCCATGTTTAACACAGCAACAGAGCTGAGGTTAGTTAAGGATACTCTGGAGTGTTGCTCACAGTTAGTTCCTTTCTCTAAGGCAGAAAAACCCTGTCAGCTGCATTAACGATTCTTACAGTCTAGTTACACACAGTTGTGCACGACATTCAGCTCCTTTGCTTAGTCTTTTCATCCATGTTAAGTACTTTCACGCTTTCTCTATACTGGAGAAAGTCCCACTCAATCAAAGCATTTCTCCAGAGATGCGCAGTACTAGTTTATCACAGATGGAGCCTTCCCCCACCCCTAACCCCCGCAATTCTTACAAAAGCATAAGAAAGGAAGTATCTCCTGTACAACCTCAGTGAAGAATAACTAACTAGCAGGGGGCATTTAGTTGTTCAGACAGTACAACCCCTTTAAACTACACACAGTGCCATATTTCTCCCCCTCCAAGTTTTGCACGCTGAAGCTAACTAGTACACATGGGTTTGGGCTTCTCTAGCCAAACAGGTCAGAGTAGTTTATTTGCCAAACCAACCATTAAGAAAGGGCAGCTTCAACGTGAAGCTGTTTTTTAGTTTGGAAAGCAAGAACGGGAAATTATTAGCTAGTTGAGGAAGTTTTTCCTTGGCATACTAAGATTCAAGTGACCAAAGGCCAGGTATTTAAGAGCTATATTTTAATACAGTGCTTTCTACCAGAGCTTATTGCATGGAAAAAAAAAATCCCATTAAAACTAGGATGGGATTGTTCAAATTAGTGTATCTTGAGTCAGCAGCTCATTTTTAACAGGCATAAAGTGTAAATATCACATCAGCTACTCTCAGGTCAAAACTTGTCCAGGCTGTCAGATATGTTACAGTTCCATTTCCAAGCAGAGTATTGCTGTTTTTCTGAAGCTATTCCTAAGCCTTCCCCAGGAAAAAAGTTTTTTGGGCTTCTGAAGAGAACACCACCTTTCTTGGTGTTATTGATGGGTAATATCTCAACTTGATCTTTTCTGATATGCTAGCAGACTTTCTATTAAAATTCCCATAGATAGCTAAAGCAATCCTTTCTGAATGGTTCCTAACAACCCCACTGAAGTCTTATTTCAAACCTACAAGTAACATGCCACCAACATCTGCAAGATAAACTCCATATATGTATATAAATTTGAGATAGCAAGACAGGACACTTAAGAGTCAAGTGTTCTTCACGATAATGAACATGAAAGAGTGATTATTCTCTTTTATTACAGCTGCAGTAACCCTTAAGCACCATTAATAAAGTGGGATGAATATTGATAAAGAGAATTTCAACTTCTGAACAGCATGAGTGCAAGAGAACTAGGGAAGTTCCCCAACCTTGGCAGAAGGGGCTGTTACTGCACTTGAAAATTCTTTTAGTCTTCAGTGTCACATACAGCCAAAGAACTCCACTGAGAACACGCAGCTGAGAAGGAAGGTTGGTTGGTTGGGGTGGGTTGTTTTGCGTTTTGGGGTTTTTTATTATTTTTTGCTTTTGAGGAAAAAAAAAAAGAGAAAATGAGTTCAGCAACACTTAGATAGGAAATCCTCAACTCAGGTAACTGACTTGTCTTTCGAAGGATACTTACCCTGAAAAAAGTGAAGCTACTAGCTGCTGAATAAGTGTCACTCAAAAGCAGTTTCTTGGCTTTTTCTTACACAGCGGGCAACTTTTCTTTTAAATTCTCCATTTCTGTCTTCTCTCCATTCTTTCTGTAATTGAATAGACAGCTTTCAGATGTCAGTCCTATAACAATGTACAAGTTCTAGGAAGACTCTTGGTGTTTTTAGACATTGGCCACCTAGTCAACATCTAAATTTGCTTTGCTTACCATCATTGAGCTAGTCACTGAAAACCTGTGACACTCAGGACTTTTGAAAGCTTGTTTTGAGTTTCAGTGGAAGCTGCCAACAAAGACTGTGAGGATACAGCCTTTCCCCCTTGGATTTTAGGCATTTTCCAAGACTAACCTGCTGTCTAGCAGTATTTCACAATGGCTAAGCTGAAGTCTATCTACTTCAGCCTGTAAAGTAGCAGCAAACTCAAAGCCGTAGACCACAAGTTACTGTTATGGATTAGAGAAAATGTCTTTAACTGCAGTGACGAAAAAAGGTACGCAGATACTGTGGAGTCAATAGTTATTGTGATTCTTAGGACAGTTTCAACTCACTCTCAATCTAGCCAGGACACAGGAGGATAGAAATACAGACAACAGCATTCAGGAGAGGTACAGCAGTGTTCTTAGACAGAAAACACCTCCTAGTCAGATGTGGCTGCAAGTCACTGGGTCCAGGAGGAAGACTTTAACAGAAAACTCAGCACACCTAGGGAAAGGTCTCTGAGACAGGTACCTGATTTCAGAACTGCACAGATGAAGAACAAAGATAAAGATGAACAGGAAGACAGCTAAGAGGTAAGCCTGAACCCAGAGACGTGCACACCATAGTATCACCAAAATCCACAGGAAAAAGTACAGCCAGTTTTAATCTTTTTGTGCCAGCCTCATGACAAGCTCAGATGAAATCACGGGAGCATCACCGAACGTGACTCAGGTTGACATGTTTGGTACTGCCTTGCAGTTAGGCAGAGTAGTGGTGGGAAAATAAGAACCCCTTGTTTCATGAAATAAGTTGTAGAGTTCTTAGGTTTTGATACAAGCAATAGATCCTTACTGCAGGGGTCAGAGAAGGGGTTAAAAAAATACCCCACACTGTTTCACCTGAAGCAACCTACCACAACACTTGGCCATCCCTACTTGGAGGGAAGGCTGTAGCACATTTGAGTGAGAGAAAAAATTCGGATAACCAGCATATCCCAACATTCACCACGTTCAAGCTCCCCTAACCAGTGAGCACATTGGAAAGCCCAGCATGTCTCATCTTTCCAGTGAAAGCACAAATTGGGCTACTAATTAATTTGTTCTTTTTCAGCAATCAATACAGCAAGCATTTGGTTCCTTGGATTGGGACGCAGGACAGCTTACACAAGATGGCTTAAGGCCAAGAAAAGCATTGAATTTGTGCCCTCCTAGCTTCAGATTATTAGGTTTTGTTTCCATCTTTTGTACTTGCAGTTCTGTGAAGCAAGTGTTCACAACTGAATTGGAAATTTGACAGTAATCTCTCCAAAACTCTTATTTCATGTCATGAACTGTTCTATTTGCTTCTAACAGTATCTATTCAGTCTCTCATCCCTCATCTTTCTCCTACTCCAAGAGGCAGTACTCCAATGTTCATAGTTCATTTTCCCAGGAAGTGGGTATATCCCCTGCTCTGTAATGGTGCGACCTGCCTGTAACACCTTATTCTCTAGACTCATGTAAAACTAGAAGTTAATGAAAGCAGACAAAGTATCTTTCAGTAACTGCCAAATACTGTTGCTACAGGAAACTCGTACTTCATAAACCAAGACGACATCTTGACAGCAGCTCAGAATAAAGCACATGAGCTGCTGATTCTTCATTAGCCTGATAAGTACGTTGTAGTTGATATGAAGAGGATGCAGTCTACAATCTAGCAGGAGATGCTAAGCTGCTCAAGCAGCACATTAAGTTTAAAAGTTACCTGGAACATCTAATACCAGAGTCAGAAAAAGAGTTACTTGCATCCAAAGGTTTTAGCAGTGATGCCTCAGTACTGCCTTCACAGCTGAATTTGGACTAAGTTTTTGTTCTTTCAAGCTGGGCTAGAAAATGCTGTGTTTCCTTAAGACATTTCCAACCTTTACCCTAAGGTTTAGGTAAACAAACTCATAGTTTTCTGTCTAACGTCTCTCTGAGGCAAAAACAATTGCTCCTGAAGTGGCTGACAGTAGAGCACACCACAAAAGACGACAAAGTTTGTGAGACACTTATAAGGTGAAAAGCACAGCTACAAGTATAAGCTTTCTCCAGTACTAGATCAGCTACATTCAACATGCATGAGTCTGGAAGCCAAGGAACTGTAATTGTACTTTTAGCATTTCATTAATAACTTGTCCCTGCCAGTGCTCTCAGGTTTGCCAGCAAAAAATGTCCATGTGTCCCAGGTATTTGTTTCCACCACTAACACGACACAAGAAGGGGTGGTCAGACACTCAAAAGAATGTTACATGAGGGAATTCTTCACTACAACTTCTTGCATTTGTTTCTGGGTTTCTGCCCGTTAAGTTCATTCCACACATGAGACTATTCCTGTGGTGACTTTTCAGCAGAGCTCCACCACTTTTGGAAATACTAGCAGCATAGTAGATCGAAGGCTTCAAGAAACTGAACTCCCACCCACTTTGGTACGGTATGGCTAGCTTGACAGAGCAGGTTAACATGCTTCCAGAAAACTCTGCGTCTTCTGATTACCATCTGCCTTTTCCTCATTACCTCGGCTAAAAGACCTAGAACTTCTCTTCTGTGAGAGGATATCGTGTAGTAGACACTGCTGAGCTGCAATTCCAGAGTAATTCAGAGGAAAGTATGCTGATGTACCTCAGACGAATAGGACCTGAAGTCTGTTCCCCTACTCCCTTCAGAACTGAGAATCTCCTCACTCCCCACCACAGATTAGTCTAATTGCTATTCTGCTATAAAAGCAGCTCTTCTAAAGAGCCAATAACTGTGGTTATACATCCATGCAGAATAGGCCATACTCCAGAAACACCATCCTGCAAGAAACACTTGCATCTTGCTTATGACAGAATCCCTACTGCAGATTCACCCTGGTCTTCGACTACAAACAGGTCAGTCTTCCTCACTCCTTAGCCAGTCATTCTAGTCTGGAACAAGACTTCCTGCAGAGTTGAAGGCTAGATGCCCAGCGAAGCTTTCAAATACGTTCTCAAAGCACAGACCTACACAGTCACACCTACTAAAGCTAATTCATGACCCAGGAAACTGCTGGAGGGAGATGGATGCAAAAAAGTCACAACACAGTTATACCGGGGGACCCCACCACATTTTCTCCTTCCACTCAAATCATTAAGTCTGTTAACAGCTTACACAACTTCCCAGACAAAAATTTTGCTGCATTATACTAGTAACATACTAGGAACCAAAAAAAGTCCTAGAACATGTTAACTTCTGCAGCTAAACCTAATAGCAGTTTTAACTGCTATGTGTATATAGCTACAAAAGATTTTACAGCCAGCTTCCCTGAATTTTTTAAGGCTAAACAAGCTGAAGTTTATCCATTAAGTACCTTTGTGCGCAAATTATTTACTATAAATAAATGCATTATTGCACAGGAGAAATTAAATCACTGCCTATGAAATCTGACAGCATCTTTCCCTTGCAATCTGTAAGAAACTTCCCAGGGCTAACTAGTAATTGTGTTTCACAACATGACTGCTTTTCCCAACAAAAATATAGCCTTAGTCTGTGATACAGAAGGTTCTTCCAAAAATTATTGTAGTGTTTGTCAAACTAGAAGTAAAACTCCATTGCAAGTTTAGGTTTCTACACTGAAGACAAATGGCAGACCAAGAAAAATCTTACCGCTGCATCAACATTAGCAGGAGAATCACCATTGGGATCTGCCAGCATAGAAATAACACTAATCATTATAGTTTCCACTGTGTGAATGGGAAGCCAGCGTTCCTCAGGTTTTTCATAGCCATATTTGTCTTCTCCAGGCTCATGAAGAATTGAAATGCAGACATCACCATTCTTGTCAACTACAAAATAGAACAAGGCATATTTCAGCAATGGAACAACACGCTGGCATTTCTTCAGAGTAGCTATGGAACTGTTTGTCTTCACTCCAGCTAGCCTGAAATCATGTTAGTGAAGATACTTTATAAAAAAGGAAAGTAATTAACTATTACAGAACTCAATCTGTAACAAACAGAGCTTGGTGGAAGTGTGCTGTTATGCCCGGACTTCTGGCAGAGAGGGCACATGAGGAGGAAGAACTTAATTCTAACATCATGCTCCAACTTTCACGACTGGGCTTCCACCACTTTCAGTGGGCTTCCACCAAAGCTTTTTCTGTTAAGTTCAGCAAACTAGAAAGTGACTTTTTCCTCACCGCCCCCTCCCCCCCCCCACCCCAGCAACAGCATCAGCTGGATATTACTGTAATATACTGGAATATGATTTAAGCTGCTGTAATTAGAAACTGCCTGACAAATACTCTGGTATTTTCAGAGCTGAAACTGACACAGCATCAAAATATTCTCAGTGTTCCTTACAATGGAAGCACAAAAGCTGGGAGGAGACCAGCACAAACATGTACAACTTCAGTAATGACTCTGGACACTGAAGAGCATTCCTCCTCCCCAGGAAAAACCTTCTTCCATTTTATTTTACCCTTCCATCTATGTCCAGCAGTCCATAAGTAAGTGAAACATTAGGAGGAGTCATCTTTAGAGGGACTGTTGCTGTTTTTTCTTTTCGTACCTCACAGGAGAAGGAAGACCTTGGGCCTTCTGTACCAAACTGCCAAGTTAGTAACACTAAGATGAAATATTTGAAGGTGTAACAAAAGGTAGCTATAGAAGTTAAGTTTCTCCTCAGACCAGAATTTCACACTTAGGAAAAAAATTTTAAAAATTCCTGAACAGTTACCAAGAATGCAAGAAGGTACTTTCAGTAGCTTCTGAAAATACTTTAGGAGTAGCCTCTCAGAGCAGCACTATTCAAAACTCTGCCATGATTATTAGCTCTTTATGAAGATAGCAAAGTAAACGCAGAGTTTCATATTTCTAACATGAACAAAAACATATCCATTTGTCTTTATCACATTTGAGTTCTTAATTACAAAACAAAATTGAAACTTTGACATTTCTTACCATTTGGATGCCATATTTCTGTGATGAATTTCATCTTTGGCGGCCTCAGTGGATAGTCTTTTGGAAAAGTAAGATGAGCCTTGAAAACACCACCTTCACTGGGGAATCAAAAATAGCTTAGTAGAGTTTCTTGTAAGCTTAAACTGAAGATTGGAACTTACTGATGCATCAAAATCTCTTAAGTTTACCCGTCACACAGCTTAATATCATGTTGGTAATTAACAGTACCAACATTTCCCTACGCAATGCAAAGAGTTTCTAGATTGAGAAGATCCTTTCACCAGACACTGCCAGCTCCCCAACACTATCATTTTCAGAATTAGCATGAAGTTCCAGAGGAGAAAAAACACATTAAAAAAATTAACAAGACTGCCATGGTATTCACGATCTGGAATTAAAACTTACATTTTCCCTCCCAGTACATTTAACAGCAAAAAAAAACAACATTGCCAGTAACTCCCTTTCTCAAGTACAGCCCAGCAGATACCTGTTTATCTTCCCCCTTTAGACATCTCAGTCCTAATTTCTTGATACCAGTCTGCAGCAGTGAGCCTCAGTGAAAAGTTACAGAAAGCTTTATAGTTCCATTTACAGCATTACTTCCTAAAGACTTCCAATACTATCTTTTTAAGCTAAAGGTCAGACGTGACAGTGAGGTGTTCTGCATTAGTTACCCACTAAACTGGAAAATAACAATAAACAAGAGGCATCCAGTTTTTATGTGAAGTTACAGGTCCAAATTCAACTTAGGAAACAGGGGTTTGGTTGGTTTTTGGTGTTGTGGGGTTTTTCTGTTTTTGTTTTTTATTTAATAACTAGGTTTCAATATCTGGGAATAGTCCCTTTTGAAAAATGTGAAGGCCTGTACTAAATGGAAAGCCTTACGGATGGAATACCTCACTAATTAAATGCTATAACATTTGCCCTGTTACTGTCATTTCTTGTAATTGAAGTCTATCAAAATTTGAAACTGTAAAGGTAGGGATTACAAAAACTGGAACATAACCTCTGATGAAGGAGGCACGAGAGGTACAGTGTGACAAGCCACTCCTCAGCAGCCACACAGACAACAGAAGCGGTGTAGAAAAGACAAAGCTGCTCAGTGCTATTTTGTTCTGGATTTGTAAAACAGTAGGAACCACTATCCAAAATACTGAGAAAATAACAAGTTTTACCACCACTAACCAAAGATGTGCAAGTCTAGCCAAGTGTCTCAAAAAAAAAAAATCCCCCAAACCCAGAACTCAACCCCAAAAAGCACTATGTCTAAGTGACTTAGCTCCTAAAATAAAGCAGCTGAGGGGGATCTGAACCCACAGCATTCATTTTCCACAAGTTTTAGAAAAGGCAGGCAGTTTCTAAAGAATCCTTGATCCTGGGAAGGGTAAGAATTGCAGAAACACTAGCTATTTTAACATCCACACTAGTCAAGACAAAGGAGAGTTAGATTACATTTGTTGATAGCCTCAAACCAGTTAAGTTCTCTCTTTCAAAATGAAAAAGTTCTTTCCCTTCTTAAAGTAGCAGATCCTAAAGCTAGCAGGCTGTATGGCATACCTGGTTGCCCTTCATCAACTCCATATAAATACAGCTCTTTAATTGGATACACATTAGAAACCAGCTAATGAAGTACATGCTGTCAATTAATGGAGATTAAGTGCCATTTTTAGCAATATTCCTAAGGGTCTCTTTCAGTAGAGTCATGCACCGAGTCGAAATCTTTTTAGGTAAACTCGGAATAAAAAAGTAAGACCAGGAACAAGACTGAAGTTTGAAAATTTTGAACTGCCTGATGAAGTTAAAGTATTATGTTCTACTGTCATCATAAAATGGACCAGGGAGGAAGGAATTTGGTATATTACTACCTTGAAAAGCAGCAATTAGGGACTGGAAAAGAGGAGAGCTTCTTGTCTAAAAAGCCTCATAACAAGCTCAGCACCTCATTGAAGTGGGGAAAAAAATGCTATTGCAATTTTTATCATATAAGAGGTACAATTAGAAGCAGCATTTCTTTACTGACAGTATTTATAAAATGGCCACGAGAATATAATGGAGCCACTACAACTGTTCAGAAGAGGTCAACAGAAGTTGGAGAAATCATCTCATGCAAGACTTTAGAATCACAACATTCTGTGAGCTTGAGGAGAAGCAAAGCAATTTGATTGCTGTGCTTAAGTACTTATTCAGAAGTCTGCAGACAGAGGTATACAACAACTTCATGTTGGAACTAAAATTGACCTCAAGTAAACATCACCAGACTTTTTATATCGGTAATTTATCACTGGAACAGCTTCATGAAGGAGAACAGAGTTCATCTTCAAGAGCTACACTTTAAACTGACCTCTTCTGGGCATAGAACCTTTTCCCAGGAGCTAGAATAGACAATCATATCTACCCTCTATGAGAAAAAGAAAGTTCTCTCAGTTAGGCAGAGCTTTTTTTTATACAAAAAACACAACACAAAACCCACCACACCGCATGTGCCAGAGTGCTTCACGTATATAGCAGTGCGAAAACACAGCCAACTTCAAGTTCAGGAAAAGAAGTTACTGTACGAATTTCATAGTTTCATGTTCAAATGTCAATTAAAGAACCCAGTCCTTGGGATAAAGGTATAAGCTTTCTGAAGCCCACTGTGGAAGGTTCACTAACAATCCGAATTTCATCAGCACTGAAGAACTCCAGGTCACACTAGGAAGTTCTCCCATCTCAAACTGACAGGACTGGAGACCAATTCTATGGTCTGCTGCAGTTTCCCCAACTACATCCCTCTTGAATATTTTCCTACAGTCAACAGTATCATGTTCTATGGGTTTAAAATGGTACTGTCAGCTAAACCAGAGCCTCACAGCAGTAACTGCAAATAGTTGATTATACCCACCTTACTTATATGTGTAAGAAAACAAGAGTTGCCTGTTCTTTCTCATTTCTACACAAGTACAAAGGGATCTGTGTTGCAATTTCCTAGGGGAGCAAAGCAGTTTAGAACTTCTATATAGCAAATCCAGCTATTTACAGGTATTTCACTAGCAACAGAACAGCATTACCTAACTTGGTCAGTATGAAGATTTATGTTAACTTCTACTCACTTAGACCAAAACTAGAACTAGTAAATCCGAGTTCACTTAAGTTTCTGTATAAGTATCAGTACTTACTAGAGTGTATCTGGAGGACCAATAATAAGGACTTCCCATCGATAAAGATCATTGTCATCTATTAAGCCCGCTGAAAAGCCTTCCACTGGATTTTTGTTGAGCTCTGTGTAGGAAAAAGAATTTAAGAGTGACTTTAGGTGTCTATGATATGCATTCGCTGGTTTTGCCCGTGCCTCTACATGTGACCAAAAAACCCCATGACTTCCAGTGTTGTGGCACCTACTGATGGACTGACGGCCTGGATGAGCATCCTCAGCTCCCTACCACACACAGCCACACACTGCCCGAGCGGAGATGCATAGTCTGACTCCAGAACCAAGTACATCACGAGCAGAAGGGCCAAAACAACTCAACGGTGTGACACGGGCTCCTAAACTAGATACCAATAGATGTGGGTGCAAATCAGAAAACAGATTTTTTTTTTGTAACTAATAAAAAAGCCATGCTGCTTTATAAGAACCCTAAGGAGCCAGATTAAACTAAAGCCTATCTTTAACTCTAGAAAACGTTAACAGAAGAACGAAGTCATACTATGTTTTTATTTGAAACTAACATGCTACTTCCCTTAATTTTTTTTTTTTCCCCAGAATCTGAAAACATTTCAGACCTGTGCCCAGTGCATTCTGGAAATAATGATTTACTACATTCTGAACTACTGAGAAGAGAGCACAAAAGATAAGTTGTCATGCTGTTTGGGGGGAGGGGGGGGAGGGGCTGGTGGTGGTGGTATTTTTTTGTTTCACAGTTTTATCCACTAATTATAAATAAGCAAGACAGGATTCTAAGTTTATAAACTACTTCATATAGTTACTGCCAGGTAGAAGGCTTATCTGGAAATAGCTACACTGAAGTCTGACCTGGATGTAGACTCCACTGAGTTACTGTTTCCAGCCTGCTCCAGGAAAAACGGTAAGATTTGGAACTAAACACCTCAAATGAGTTCTGTCTAAAATTCAGCTTGGAGTGTCTCTCACATGACAGACCAAGGTCTTGAAGAGGTAGATGGTAGGAACACCAACTTTGGCCATTAGTAATTCAGAGTCAAATTTATCCACATGGATGACTCAAGGCTAAAACTCCAAGAACTGTATTGGAAAGGCTTTTCTTAGAAGCTACTCAGCAGGGGTTCAGTCACCAGATGAGGTCAACCATCCACTCTCCAAGTTGCAGGACAGACTTAGGTATTGAACCAAGTCATGTTTTCTCAAGACAATGCCTGAAACAAAAGGTACTATCACAGGCTATGTAACCAAGATGCAACCTTCAAAACCAAGAACTATACCATGGCCACACCTCCACTACGCAGACTGGTTTTCATCAACTGACATCTATGAAAGTTTGTGGAAACAGCTGCATCAGCATCAGTAACAGTTTTATTTAATTTAAGGTGAAAGGGGCAGAGAGACTAGGTGTCTCCCATGAAGTGAGAACTTCATCAGTTCTTTACTACCTCCCTACCACAGACATGCCTCCAACATCAGCCTCCAACTTCCATCACATTAGTAGTTGAATATAACTTGCTTTTTATGCAGTATTTTATACAAAAAAAATGTGTCTATTGCTTGTGCAAAAAAGGCACCTCTAAATTTAAATCATCCTTTTGGATATTTTATTAGTATTGTAATATAGAATATCCAGCGTAACTACAGAAGTCAGAGAAAGAGTGCAAAGATTATAGCATCTCACCTTAAGACTTTCAAACCCGAGTTCAAGCCTCCAAAACACAGGTTCACTCATTTCTGCATTTCCACAGGGAGAAAGCGGTTTATGCCAAGTTCTGTGTTAACCGCTGTAACTCAAGCTGCTCCCATTTAGCTTCCTTATTGTTTGCTAGTTATCACTTCTCAGTGATAAGGCTGTAAACAAGCCTGCCAGAAGTTGAGTCCAGCAAATTCAGCATGCATCTATATCTAAACATGCCACACTATTTTTGATCCAACATACACATTTTATACTCTTATTTCTTGATTCATGCTATTTCCATTTCTTTCACATCTGTCTCAGCCCTCAAATAATTTTTTTTTATCCTTAAGTCCTTTGAAACGTTTTTCATGTACTTGTTCCCAATGAAAGCCAGCTTTTACACTCTGACTCATACCCAAGACCTTGCAGCACTATATTCCACGAGATCTTGTGAGAAGGAATAAGATTGCCGGATGCCAACTCCTGTAATGCAGAAATTCTGTAAACCATATGAAGGGGACAGCCACTGACAAAAGTCTTCAGTTACAGCAGTTACAGAGTTTTGCTTAGTGATGTTGCCTATAAAGCAAATGATGATGATACTTCTTTTAAAGGCAGTAGCATTGGTCTCTGCTTGTAAAAGGTTCTCATTTTCCTTCCATGGTAGCAATCTCGAAGCATAGTTCAAATAACTACTGCTTGCACAAATACTTCGAGGCAAAACTCCAGATATAAGCTCAGGCACCTTCTCCACTGGAGGTATGCAGAATTACCATAGGCAAGTTAAAATGAGCTTTTCCATTCAGATCATTTATGCTAAACTGAACATCAACTAATGGCTGGTTGGCAGACAAAAAAGGAAATCTCAGAAAAGTTTTGCACTGAGACATGAAAAACATCATCCTTGGCTGCTTTACCATGGATAACTAAGAGCTGCTACTCGTTAAAACTTACAAACATGGAAGCCTAGGGTTTGTTTTTGGTTTTTTCCCCTGGATACAGCCAATGCTGCGTATCAGACGAGTTACCTAGTAGCACCACCTACCTCTCACACAGCAGTGAAATCCATGCACAAAAATCTCAAGGGAATAGTGATGCCACTGCCACATCACTATCCCATGGCAAGACAGGAGCACACACATGCTGTACTCAGAGACACACGAGGCAGCTGTCAGGCAGATGGACTTCTGCCCACCAAGCAGAGCCTCTGCTGACACTGACACTGCACTCAGGAAAACAAGACACCTGTTCCCTGTGTCTGTCATTTCCTACCAACTACAGCAGTTAACCACTTGCAGCCTGAACAAAAGCTTTTCTTGATGAACACATGGCTGGTGAGTATGCTTCATAGAGCAAAGAATTCCATTCCCTCCTCCAGCCAGGGAGAGGGAATAAGCCTTTGGTGCAGGTCCTCTACAAAGCCCTGTTGAAGAGCTAGCCTACAAATCCTGGAAAAGCAGAGAAGTCAAGACACCTATGAAAAACTGAATCCCTCCACATTATTTTTTCAATGGTTTCCTTTGACATTTCTTGTTTAACTAAAGATATCCTGTACTTTTTAAACATAAATTAGTATATTAACACACTTCCATCATGTCCATGCCTAAATAAGTGCAATTTACTTGCTACTATATATTACACACTATGGCTTAGTAGTTCTGCCAGTATTTTCCACATTTCTGATAGTTTAATATAATAGAAATTTTTCTTCCCAGAGGAAAAAATATCTTACTTTCACTCTAGAAGCAGTTGCAGGTAGAGTCCTTCACAGCTCACGCAGCAGCTGACGGCCAAAGCAGCACACACCCAGACAGCTGCCAAGCAGCAACATACTGGGGAAAGAATCCTGTGGCTGCTTATAAATTAGACATTCAGTTCCTCTAATCCCAGTCCTGAATCAATACCTGATTTGGGAGACGTGGAAGACTACAGGCCCATAATCCAACAGAGTTCTCTGAGTCCAGAACAGGCTTTCACATCCAATGCCTCGTCTCCCTCATGATCTGCCAACACCACACAGTGCTCCTTTAGCTGTTTAGCTCTTACTAAAGCAGAACTAAACCACCACTGTCTTAAACTAGAGCCAACACAGTACCATAAGCTGTGCTTCCAGTTTCAGTGTTTAGTGACACCAAGCTACACATGTTCCCACACTCACTAAAACTGCCTTTATATAAACCAAGAGACTTTCACCAATCCAAAAGCAAAACGGCATCAACAAAAATGACTAAGCAGAAAGAGCCCCATGGCTACATGTGGCAGCTATGTGCGGCATCTGAACTTTCCAGCTTGATGTTTCACACAGCCAGCCACTGCACATGAACACTTCAGAGTATTTTAAGCTACATTACAGAACAAAGCTTTCAAAAATATAAAGCTTCTACATAATTTTTAATAGCAGCCTCTTCAGTAAGTTAAACAGGGACTGAGTTTTGCGCAACCAGTGGATTGAGCCCAGCACAGAAACAGAGCCCAGACAGCCCAAGTTCCAGCTCAGGCTTCTGGAGAAGCCATCTAGCTGACTTACACACATTTCCCAGAACAAGCACATCGTATCAGAGGTTTACATTTGCTATACATTAGGCTTGTTTTCGCTTGGTTGCTTTCTGCAAGTCTCAAACTACTTCAAGAGCTTCTAAGAACTGTACAGACTGAAAGTCCTCATTCTAGACGACTCCTCTCCATATCCCAAGCTGTGACTTCCATATAGTTATATTACTTAACTGAGGTCAGTTATTATTTCTAAGACTTTCCCTTCTGCCTGCATATCCAGCTGTAAGTCTCTGATTCTAGAAGATTAGGGCTAGAGATAACAATAAAGTAACATGATCTCTTTGCAAAGATGTATTCCCAGAGCTCTCCATCATCTACTTTCATCATGTTCTGTCTTGCTCCACAAGATCATCCAAAGAGTTCAGACAAAACATAGCATGAGATATGCACACACTCCCAGTAGCCACTTAGACAGTGACAAATAAGACAGCAATTAAGACAGAACAGTTTTAGTCTCAGAAGGACATTGTAATTATTTTGGAATGAGACTGAAGCAGTAAAGACAAACCCGTCTCAAAGAGATCTTTACCAATGAGTTCAGCAGCAGCTCTAGATTTGACTCTTAACTTTAGCCTGGCAACTAATAATTTCCAGCGCTCCATGCGTCACGCCGTTGATAAGGGCAGAATTACAGCCTTCTATAAATCTAGCTCTCCTCTCAGTTCAGAGAATTTGTAGGGAGAGTTGTATACTTAGCACTAACAGGCAAGCTGCTCACAGAAACCATCTGAGTGCGGTTACACAGCTTCAGCACTGCTGCATCAACACGCTTCCCTTGCCATCTCCTCATCTATACCTGCAGAGCCTTCCAAGGATTTGCACAGTGAAACAGGTTTTGGAAGGTCAGAGGACATGGTTAGGAGTTTCTTGTTAAGATTTTTGGTCTTACTCCCTGTCAACTTCCCAGCCAGGGCCACAGCTCAGCTCTGCACACAGGAGGACAGCAGCACTAGCCCAAAGCAAAGGGGCAGAAGCTCCTGTAACTGCCATGAGTCTGTGGATTAAGGTTATAATACCACAGGAACTCGACCAGATAGAGACTGGAATTCTTACTAGTAAAGTGTCATGTTACTTTAGATATAAGCTAAG